CATGATTTTATGCGCATGCATACGTGTAATTGAGCCTGTATGAGACTGCTGCGCGCGGGGGCGGCGGGACGCGGCCTCGAGGGCGCCGCGGCAGCCCCGGCGGCCGGCGCGCGGCGGGCGTCCTGCCTGGGGGCGGCTTGCGCCGCGGCGCGGGGCGGGCAATCCTGCGGCGCCCTGTCGTCCACAGCCGCGAGGCGCGCACCCGCCATGATCCTGAGCGAAGAGCAGACCCTCATCCGCGATACCGCCCGCCAGTTCGCGCGCGACGTGCTGGCGCCCCAGGCCGCCGCCTGGGACCGCGAGGCCCGCTTCCCCCGCGCGGCGCTGACGCAACTCGCCGAGTTGGGATTCATGGGGATCAACGTGCCGGAGGCCTACGACGGCGCCGGCGCGGATGTCGTCTCCAACGCGCTGGCGATCATGGAGATCGCCGCCGGCGACGGCGCCGTGTCCACCATCATGGCGGTGCACAACTCGGTCGGCTGCCTGCCGATCCTGCGCTTCGGTTCGGACGACCAGAAGGAGCGCTTTCTGCGGCCGCTGGCGCGCGGCGACCTGCTGGCCGCCTTCTGCCTGACCGAGCCGGCGGTGGGCTCCGACGCCGGGGCGATCCAGACCCGCGCGCGCAAGGTGGGCAACAAGTGGGTGCTCAACGGCACCAAGCAGTTCATCACCAGCGGCAGCACGGCCGATGTCGCGATCACCTTCGCCGTCACCGACCCCGAGGCGGGCAAGCGCGGGATCAGCGCCTTCATCGTGCCGACCGCGACGCCGGGCTACACCGTGGCGCGGGTGGAGAAGAAGCTCGGCCAGCGTGCCAGCGACACCTGCCAGATCGTGCTGGAGGACGTGGAGCTGACGCCGGACCTGCTGCTCGGCGCCGAGGGGGAGGGCTACAGGATCGCCCTGGCCAATCTGGAAGGCGGGCGCATCGGCATCGCGGCGCAGGCGGTCGGCATGGCGCGGGCCGCCCACGAAGCGGCCCTGTCCTACGCCAAGGAGCGCGAGTCCTTCGGCCAGCCGATCATCGCGCATCAGGCCGTCGGCTTCCGCCTTGCCGACATGGCCACGCAGATCAAGGCGGCCGAGCTGATGACCCTGCATGCCGCCCAGCTCAAGGACGCCGGCCGTCCCTGCCTGCAGGAGGCCTCGATGGCCAAGCTCTTCGCCTCGGAGGTGGCCGAGCAGGTCTGCTCCGCGGCGATCCAGGTGCATGGCGGTTACGGCTACCTGGAGGACTATCCCGTCGAGCGGATCTATCGCGACGTTCGCGTCTGTCAGATCTACGAGGGCACCTCGGACATTCAGCGTCTGGTCATCGCCCGCCAGTTGGCCGCGGACTAAGGCCCCGCGGGCCGGGGCGCTTGGCGCAAGGCAGAGGTGTTTGCTCTTGCAGGGCGGGCTGTTCCGGGGCAAATGAGACACGGCGCAACTCCGCCGGGTACAACCCTCGCCTGCGAGGGCGGCGAGGCAGTCTGGCGGGCCGGGGCTCGTATACCGGCGGATTCCGGGGGATCGCCCGCAACTCGGGAAGCGAGAAAATTTATCCAAATCCGAAATTTCTCGGTTCCTTTTGGCGAACAGTTGTTTAGGATGACACGTATGGCTCGCGATATCGATAAACACGTCGGCCGGCGAATTCGCCAGGCTCGCGCTCTGCGGGGGCTGAGCATGGAGAAGCTCGCGCAGGCGCTTGGGATCTCCTACCAGCAGCTCCAGAAGTATGAGGTGGGGAGCAACCGCGTGAGTTGCGGGCGGCTGTGGATGATCGGACAGACTCTCGACCTGCCGATCGGCTTCTTCTTCGAGGGGCTCGATGGAGACCGGCAGCCCGAGGGGGGCGAGCCCGAGGCGCTGGTCTCGCGGCGCACGATCAACGTGGCGCGTCAGCTCGAGGAGATCGAGGATCAGGCCCTGCGCGATCAACTCCTGGCGATGATCCGCACCTGCGCCCGCTCGGGCCGGATGGCGTCCTGAGCCACCCCGCGGCGCGGGGCCATGCCGCGCGCCGCCACCGCGGGTCGTGTCAACCCGGGCGGCGTCTGCCTGCAGCGCTCGCGGCGGGCACGCCCTAGAGCGAAGCCCGACCGGAGTGACTCGCCTTGGCGAGTCGTCAGGTCGGAGAGCGTCGCACCGAGCCTCTGGTTTCGGGCGGTGTTTGCTCGACCGGTGGAGCCACCAGAGTGGGTCCACACGGTCGCAAACCGCCCTAGTCCCGCTGGCGCGAGTGGCTGGAGGAGGGGCGATCTCGTCCAGCCGGGGCGGCCGAGAACGCCTTGACCCCGGTCCGATGGCCTTGCAGCGAAGGGCTGAGCCGTGCCGCCGCCGCTGATCTTCTACTTCGATTTCTCCAGCCCCTACGGGTTTCTGGCGGCCCGTGAGATCGACTCGCTGGCGGCCGCACGGGGCCGCGCGGTCGACTGGAGGCCGATGCTGCTGGGCGCGGTCTTCAAGCGCAACGGCGTGCGGCCCAACCTGGACGTGCCCTTGAAGGGCGCCTATACGCGACACGACTTCGCGCGCGCGGGGCGTCGTCTCGGCCTCGAGGTGCGCTTGCCCGAACCTTTCCCTTTCTCCTCGGTCGCGGCGGCGCGCGCCTTCTACTGGCTGTGCGACCAGGTCGCGGCCCAGGCTAAGGCGCAGCCCCACGCCAGACCCCAGGCCCAGGCCCAGGCCCAGGCCAAGGCTTTGGCGCTGGCGCTGTATGAGCGGGCCTTCCTGGCCGGGCAGGACATCTCGCGGCCGGAGTCCGTGCTGGAGGTCGCCGCCGCCCAGGACCTGGACCGCACCGCACTGGCCGACGGCCTGCAGACGCCGGCGGTCAAGGCGCGGCTGCGCCGGGAGGTGGAGGCGGCGATCGACGCCGGCGTCTTCGGCTCGCCCTACCTTCTCGTCGACGGCGAGCCCTTCTGGGGCTACGACCGTCTGCCCCAGGTCGCGGCCTGGCTGGACAGCGGCGGCTGGTAGGCGCTCAGCGCCCCGCCGCTGCGGTTTCGGCCGCGTCGGCGTCCGGGCCCCCGGTCTCCGCCAGCACCTGCCGGAACAGCGCGGCATCGACGTTGCCGCCGCACAGCATGACGCCGACACGGCGCCCGCGGTTGGCCGCGCGCTGCTGCAGGCAGGCGGCCAGGGCGGCCGCCCCGGCGCCTTCGGCCAGATTGTGGGAGTCGGTGTAGTAGGCGCGCATCGCCGCCTTGATCTCGGCCTCCGACAGGGCGACCACGTCGGCGGCGCCGCGGCGCAGCACCTCCACTGCCTCGGGCTCGGGCACGCGGCAGGCCATGCCGTCGGCCAGGGTGACCGCCGCCTCGGTGGCGACCGGCCGGCCGGCCTGGAAGGAGCGGCGGTAGGCGTCGGCGCCGGCGGCCACCACGCCGATCACCTCGGTCTTCAGGTTCAGCGCGTCGCGCGCGGCGATGGTGGCGGTGATGCCGGAGCCCAGGCCGATCGGCACGTAGACCCGCTCCAGGTCGGGATGCGCGCGGAACAGCTCCAGCGGATAGGTGGCGACGCCGCGCACCAGCCGCTCGTCGTAGGAGGGCAGCATGTGCAGGCCTTCCTCGGCAGCCAGCGCCTCGGCCCGCTCGCGCGCGGCCTGGAAGTCGTGGCCGAAGACCACCAGCTCGCCGCCGAAGGCGCGCATGGCGGCGTTCTTCTCGACCGAGTTGCCCTCGGGCACGCAGATCACGGCGCGAAGGCCGTGGCGCCGCGCGGCGAAGGCGACCGACTGCCCGTGGTTGCCGCGCGTTGCGGTGATCACCCCGGCCGGGCGCTGCGCCTGTCGGCCGGCGCGCTGCGCCAGGTCCGCCAGGTAGACCAGGCCGCCGCGCAGCTTGAAGGCGCCGGTCGGCGTGTGGTTCTCGTGCTTGACCACCAGCTCGCAGCCGGCGCGTTCGGCCAGCAGCGGCCAGCAGTACTGCGGCGTCGGGGGCATGGCGGCATAGACCGTCTCCCCGGCGGCCTCGATCTCGCTCAGGCTGGGCAGGCGCATGAGGGGTCCCTTCTTCTCCTCGGACCGGCGGCGGAGACGGGCGGTTCACAGGCCGCCGGCCGGCAGCGTCTCTGGGACGAGACAGCCCATGACGCCCGCAAGCGCCGCGCAGCGTCAAGCGCGCATGCGACGCGTCGAGCCGGCAATCGATCCGGGCAGACAGCCCCGGGAGACGGCCCCGGGACACGGCCCCGGGACACGGCCCCGGCAGACGGCCAACGAGGGAGGCAGGCGATGGCGACCAGCAGCGGACGGTCCGGCGGCACCCCCCCGGCGGAGAGCGCCGCCTCCGAGCAGGGGAGCGACCGGCCGGCCGGGCAGCAGACAGCCGGGCAGCAGACGGCCGGGGCGGGGCCCGCCGAGGCCCCCTCGGTGGCCTTGGCGCGCGGTTTCACCGCTCTGGTGACGGCGCTGGAAGAGGGCTTCCGGGTCGGCCAGTCGAACCAGCTTTCCGTCAACCGCGCCGGCGAGACGGTGACCGAGCAGGGGGGGGAGACGCTGTTCGCCGTCGCGCCCCGGGTCGAACCCTCCGAGGAGGAGACAGGCTGATGGCAAGCGCGCAGCAGAATGAAGGTCTCGGCACGGCGGCGCTGGCCGATGCCGTCGCCCTGGGCGTGGCGCCGAGCGAGGCCGTGGGCCTGGCCCATGTCGCGCTGGTCCAGGCGGCGGCCATGGCCATGCAGAACGCCGTCAGTCAGCAGCAGGCCTATCAGCTTCTCAGCCGCGCCCAGAGCTCCAGTGCCTGCGCCAGCGTCCTCGAGGCGGCGCGTGCCCAGACCGCCGTCGCGCCGGCCGATGGCGAGGCGGAGCTGGATGTTTATGCGCTGGAGCGCGACGTGGCCGGCCGCGACCTGGCGGGCTCGGGCGAGGCCGGCGTCGCGGTCTACGGCGGCGTGCCGGTCGACGGCGACTACGCCGACCCGGACCCCGGAGCGGCGCCAGGGGCCGGGGCAAGGCAGGGGCGCGGCTCCGCCGCCGGCGGCATGCCCGTCACCTAGAGCGATGCCCGACCTGATC